TATTAATAATGATGTATCAATTGTATGTTATATTATTATTTATCATTTCAATATTAGTTGCATTATTCATATGAGAACGAATATTAAGCATCCTTGAAATCTAATTTGCGGTTTCTATTAAATTGTAATAAATACTGTATATACAAATTTTTCTCTCTAAATTTAGTAGAGAATTTCAAGTTTTTGTAAATAAATTTCTTTTAAACTACTATCATTATGTCCGTATTCACCGACACCTATTTACCGACATAAAATTATACCAGCGTCATTTCGCCTTCACCGGCATCTTTAACGTTCCGTCCCTATTTTACCGACAAGCCATGATCAACATAGTGAAATACAGTATTATTATTAAGTCCAATAAGAAAGCAAGGAATATTTTCAATGATATAAAATTTTTTTGTTTCTAAATTCTAGCCATTCTATTTGAAAAAAAAATAGAGAAAAGATTACAAAGGGATAATTAGATTGGTATATAATCTTACATTTCAGTTAAGACGCAGTAAGGAGTGAGGCGCAGCTAACAAATTTTTGATGAACAGGTAATTTTACATGTCGGTAAGATGACATTTCGGTTAAATGGAATAGGTAAATTTTCATATAGGTAATTATTATAAGATTAAATATAGTATTGGCGGGCCTATTGCTCCGCACTGGGACCAATGAGTTTGTTTCAATAGAAAATTTTAGTATTATAATGTAATGCTAAGTAAATTAAAGATGGTTACAGCAGTTTTTTTGTTTATAATTGGAATTTAATATAGGTAATAATTAGTTAACAAAAATTAATAAAATAATAATTAAATTATAATTATAATATTAGAATGATAGTATAAATTATATTAGGAATTGGTAAACATTGGCTGGGTCAGCTGGGTATTCGGTCATGCGGCAGATTTAATATTTTTGATTGGCCAGATTAGCCACATGATCGCGTCATGTTCATTTGTTCAAATCTCATTTTCATTATAGGTTCAAGGTTCGTTTCCTCGATTCTTTCAGTCTCGAGGTATTTTTCTTTTTTTCTTTTTATTTTTATTTCTAACTTACATTCTTACACTTTGTTTCTTACTAACTCTATTTCATTATTTTTAGGTCTTTTAGTCCTTCCGGTTCTGCAATTAAGGTTCAGTTGTTTTTACTTTACATTTCATTTCTCGGCTAACCACTCTATTATAGTGATAATAGTGATATCCTTTTCTTAAGATAGAAACAAATAAAAAAAAAAAAATGAAAAATAACTAGCCGCAACGTGAGGCTCAGCCAATGGATTTTCTGCAATTAAACTGGGTCCGGATGATCGATTAGGCTCCGTTTTTCGGCTAACTACACCATTATGAAATCACATACCATTTTTAATTTATTTCATATGGGCCGGTGCAAAAAGATTCGTACCTCACTAAAAATAGATAAGATTTACATTAAGGTCAAATATTGCACAACAAAATATAATGGTCTGAGTCATATATTTGATAAATAATAACTAGAAGTACTTGATTTTTAATTTTCTTTCTTATATCATCCTTTTTTCTTTTTTAAAATAAAATAGAATACTGTTAAAATATAACAAAAAAATAGTAATAATTAATGATTGCAATTACACTTTTTAAATTAATTTTATGAGGATGAGCCATCTGATGTTCATATTACACAAGCAAACTGCCGAAGCATTGGGAATTACTAAAAGTACAATTAAAATTATGATATCAAATTAAAATAAGGTATAGCAGCAGTATATTCATGCTAAAACTTTACATATAAAATGCAAATAAATATTAAACTGTCTAATAA